AATGTGGGAGCCCAAATTATTCAAGGTCAGAGAATCTAAGCTTGCTTTACCCAGCAAGACTGCATAATGGGATGATTTGGCTACTGGAGTGGTTACCAGGTGTTTTGAAGCATCTATACTTGGTTGTACATTGTGCTCTGATCTTGAAAGGGGGAGGTCTTTTGTTTTGCCCCTTAGCATTGTACAAAAAACCCTTCGGAATAAACCTTGAGGTGAATGGGTATTGACCCAGGGCCCTCCCAAAGCTATCCCGCGTCTCTGCTTTCTTATCATCTTCTTTTATCTTTCTATCTAATACTTCCTCATTCTTCTCTCCTCCCCCCTAAAACCCTCCTACAGGCCGGACCTGGACTCTGACAGACTCCCACACATTACTAGTGGTAGATAATCTTCAGAAAAAAAACACCATTTGTGATTTTTTTTTTTTTTTGGGTTTTTCGAAACAGGGTTTCTCTGCATAGCTTTGCGCCTTTCCTGGAAATCACTTGGTAGCCCAGGCTGGCCTCAAACTCACAGAGATCCGCCTGGCTCTGCCTCCCGAGTGCTGGGATTAAAGGCGTGTGCCACCACCGCCCGGCACCATTTGTGATTTTTAAAAATATATTTTTCTAGGGAGGGCTGAAGAACTTAGTAAAGTTACATATTGAAACTCAAGACATATATCTTTGGCCTGACAATTTCATTGAACATTCAAAACATTTCCTACACATTCTTAAGGTCACTTTAGTTTCTTTATTGGATTATGAAGTAATAACCTCTTATCATATCCAACATATTGGTGATATTTTTTTAAATTTTATTTTATTTTACAATCAGCCATGGATTCCCTTGTTCTCACCCCTCCCGCCGCCCTCCCCAGCATACTCCCCATTCCTACCTCCTCCAGGGCAAAGCATCCCCCGAGGAATGAGATCAACCTGGTAGACTCAGTCCAGGCAGGTCCAGTCCCCTCCTCCCAGACCAACCCAAGGAACCCTGCATAAGCACCAGGTTTCAAACAGCCAACTCATACAATGAGCACAGGACCCGGTCCCACTGCCTGGATGCATCCCAAACAGATCAAGCCAATCAACTGTCTCACTCATTCAGAGGGCCTGATCGAGTTGGGGGCCACTCAGCCATTGGTTCATAGTTCATGTGTTTCCATTCGTTTGGCTATTTGTCCCTGTGCTTTATCCAACCTTGGTCTCAACAATTCTTACTCATATAAACCCTCCTCTTTCTCGCTAATTGGACTCCCAGAGCTCTACCCGGGGCCTGGCCATGGATGTCTGCATCCAGATCCCTCAGTCATTGGATGGGGTTTCTAGCATGACAATTAAGGTGTTTGGCCATCCCATCACCAGAGTAGGTCAGTTCTGGCTGTCTCTCGACCATTGCCAGCAGTCTTTTGTGGGGGTATCTTTGTGGATTTCTGTGGGCCTCTCTAGCACTTTGCTTCTTCCTTTTCTCATGTGGTCTTCCTTTACCATGGTCTCCTATTCCTTGTTCTCCCTCTCTGTTCTTGATCCAGCTGGGATCTCCCGCTCCCCCAAACTCTCTTTCCCTCAACCCTCACCCTTCATTACTCCCACTCATGTCCAGGCTGTTCATGTAGATCTCATCCATTTCTCCATCATTGGGCAATCCCTGTGTCTTTCTTGGGGTCCTGGTTTCCAGGTA